TGTGTGTCTGTGTGTGAGTGTGAGTGTGAGTGAGAGTGAGTATGTGTGTCTGTGTGTGAGTGTGAGTGTGAGTGAGAGTGAGTGTGTGTGTCTGTGTGTGAGTGTGAGTGTGAGTGTGTGTGTGTGAGTGTGTGTGTGTGTGCATGTGTCTGTGTCTGTGTGTGTGTGTGTCTGTGTGTGAGTGAGTGTGAGTGTGAGTGAGAGTGAGAGTGAGTGTCTGTGTGAGTGTGTGTGTGTGTGTGTGTGTGTGTGTGTGAGTGTGAGTGAGAGTGAGTGTGTGTGTGTGTGCGTGTGTCTGTGTGTGCGTGTGTCTGTGTGTGCGTGTGTCTGTGTGTGCGTGTGTCTGTGTGTGCGTGTGTCTGTGTGTGCGTGTGTCTGTGTGTGCGTGTGTCTGTGTGTGCGTGTGTCTGTGTGTGCGTGTGTCTGTGTGTGCGTGTGTCTGTGTGTGCGTGTGTCTGTGTGTGCGTGTGTCTGTGTGTGCGTGTGTCTGTGTGTGCGTGTGTCTGTGTGTGCGTGTGTCTGTGTGTGCGTGTGTCTGTGTGTGCGTGTGTCTGTGTGTGCGTGTGTCTGTGTGTGCGTGTGTCTGTGTGTGCGTGTGTCTGTGTGTGAGTGTGAGTGAGAGTGAGTGTGTGTGTGTGTGTGCGTGTGTGTGTGGACAGACACATCCGCACAGCAGCGCTGCAGTTAATATCTCTGTGTGGGTTGTGTGTTTCCTGTTTACATGTAGGTGACAGCTCTAAATGCAGGTGAAATTTCTGTTCACATGTGATGGGTGTCAATCTCTGAGAGAGAGATGTTACTTCCTGAAAATATTCAAATATTGAACTTACCAAAAAAGGAAAAACGGGTAGCTGTGATAAACCAGTAAATCAGTGGATCTTCGGGACGTGGTCTTGCTCAAATAATTATATTTAATTTGTAATGAATAATATTTAATATTTAAATAACAATATGTATTATTTATACATTTGTATATTAGCTAATTAACTATCAAGTATCAAGATTACAAACACAAACAGTTTTATCTTTGCATAAGACTCACACATGCATAACTCTTATTTTAATATTTATATCTATAATAGTATTTATTGATATTTTTTATTAGCTTTTATTTTTAGAATTTCAGTTTTCTTTTTAGTTATTTTTTTTGTAATTTTTATGTGATTCTGTGTTTTAAATATATATATATATATATAATTTTTTTTCCCAGTTATTGCTTCAACTCTAGAAATTAGAAATCTTGTCCCGGCAAATAACTAAAATATGTTTTTCATCTAATATTTACATATTTCCATGGGTGTTAAATCTCTGAGATTGAGATTTATTATTAGTATTTTTTGTACATTTGTATATTATCAATTTACTTGCTTAATTTTATTTAATTGAATTTTATTTCAGTTTTAGATTTTTTATTTATTTTATTTCTAGTAATTTTAGCAACCCAGTCTCATAAAAAAATACGTGCGTCTATGTGACGTTAACATTCAAAAGTATCAGTTTTCAAATCTCGCAGCATATTAAAATTGTTTTGAAGTCATCACATAATATTCTTCAAGTAATTGGGTGAAAATAACGCTTTATTAATTGAAACTGTGGACCTGTAAATCATACTTTGTGTGAAAAGCAATAAAAGTTCATTATAACTGGAACTCGCAGCGATTCGTACATTTCAGTTTTTCAGTTTTGTAGAAAAGTATCTAGTATTTCCAATGAGCCTGGGTAGAATTTTAGTGCCTCAACTTAAAAATATAGAAATCTTGCCTTGGCAACTAACTGAAGCTAATATCATCTAATATTTATATTTTATTTTATTGCAGATTTATTTCAATTAACTGAAATGTTTTGATCGTTAGTTCTAGTTAATAAGAACCCTGATGCATAAGAAATATAGAGAATAATCAGAATAATCAGAAAAATCTCATTGTGATTGATCTGTAATGAGCTGAACTGAAGAGTTCGGACACTGGATCTGCTTCTACGTCACGTTTATATCCCACATGTCAGAATGATCCTGATTTTCCTCAGTTAGCCGCAGAGTAATGAGAAGCACTTACGTAGTTGTCACGGGCCGACCAGCTGGGATAAAGCTGCATGTGAAGCTGTCGCTCCTTCCGCGCTAGTTCATAGTACTTGGCCTGTTCCTCGCGGGTCAGAGCGTGCCACTGTAACACACACACACACACACACACACACACACACACACAACACACATTAGGTTTCTGTGAATTGTGGGGACCTTCCATAGACTTCTGTTACTTTTATGCTGACCAAACAATATTTTCTATCCCCTAACCCAACCCTAACCCTAAACCTACCCCTTACAGCAGGGGTGGGGGACGCTGATCCTGGAGGGCCGCTGTCCTGCAGAGTGACAAAAAAAAAACCTTCCTGTATCCTGAAGACCTTGATTAGCTTGTTCAGGTGTGTTTAATTGGGGTTGGAGCTAAACTCTGCACTGGCCCTCCAGGATCAACGTTCCCCACCGCTGCCTTACAGAAAACCTGTTTGCATTGATACACTTTCAGATAAACATCATTTACTATTTTTAATCATTTTTTTCCATCATGGGGAGCGCAGGCAGTTCCCCACAATGTCAAAAATGTCAGGTTTTAATATCCTTGTGGGGACATTTAGACACACACACACACACACACTCTCTCTCACACTCACTCACACACACACACACACACACACACACACACACTCAAACTCACTCACTCACTCACACACACACACTCTCACACACTCAAACTCACTCACTCACTCACTCACACACACACACACACACACACTCACACACACTCACTCACACACACA